CAAGCATTTTTTGAAAAAACTGCCAACATTTCCTTATCGATGGTTCACTTTCTAAAAAGGCCATTTATTTCTGCCTAGAATGATGTACAAATGAGTGTTCTTGCTCATTTTGCCTCCGGGATATGAGCAAAAAGAGAAGCCAAACATTAAATTTTGGCATAATCTTGCATTTGAGTGTCTGACATTCAAATTTCACTTTCTGGGTCAAAATAACTCGAATTGCCTCACTCACGTTGCTACGACTGAATCGACTTTTCAATTGTCTATCCAACGATGCCAAAACGAATTCTGTGGCTCGAATGGTTCTTGACAAACTTCGATAAAAACAGCGTCATGTTCAAGTGGATTTTGTTACTCAAAAAAAAACCACGCAGATCTAAAACTTCTTGAATTCAAGCATTTTTTGAGAAAACTGTCAACATTTCCCCATCCATGGTTCACTTTCTAAAAAGGTCATTTATTTGTGCTAGATTGATGTACAAATGAGCGTTCTTGCTCATTTTGCCTCCGAGAAACATGCAAAACGGGACGGAAAACATAAAATTTTGCAATAACCTTACGCCACCCATAAGGCGCTGATTTTTTGAAAAGCCTTAAATGGAAGTCGCAAATGAAAAGCCTCAATCACATGAGAAAACTGGAAAAATTCCACTCTATTTACCAACTTTACTCATAAGCTGAATTTTGTACAGGATATATACAAAACATCTGTCCATATTTCTGCGCAATTTCTTACTATGGGAAGAAAGTGCTGATTTTTTAAAAACTCCACTTTGGTATAAAACGCAGTTTCTCTGTCCACTAGAGGCAATTGACAAATTTGACTACTTTTACCAACATAACTCTTCCCTGTAATTTTACAGGATATGTTCCAGGCATTCGTCTGTATTTTCGTTAGATTTTGCGCCATTTCGAGAAACTGCGAAGTTTTAACAGCTTCAATTTGGCGTAAAACGCAACTTCGCACCACAAAGAACAATTGGAAAATTATACTTCTTTTACCGGCAATATAGTGTGAGTTTTGGGAAAAAGTCTAGGCAAAAAAGCTCATCTACGTTATTATATTGTATTACTATTTTGCTGTATAGATATAGTTTATATTTTATAATA